AGGCGTTACGGCAGATATATCACTTCCACCTGCTAGGCCATGTATTCCATGTATTGTTCCACCGATGCCCACACGACCTACTTGTCCTGTTCCATACGATGATCGCTCCGATGATGCTGAGATTCCAGCTGAGGGAGTTACACAGGAGCCATCATTGTCACACATAGGTCGAGGCAAAGGTCGGCATGGAGTCGATCGACATACACACCATACACATGATCCAGTAAATGGTGGAGTCATAGAAGATATACCGCCTCCGCCTGATGGTCAGCGGCCCAAGCGGCAGAGGAGACCACCGTCTTTTGGGACATAGTATTTTGTTTTATATTTGTTTGTATAAAAATTGTAAATATTATTGTTGTATATAAAATATGTTTGTGTTCATAGTTTCATGTAATGTTATTTCATTACTGCCTTTCAGATTATTTATTCAATACTCTAAAGATATGTTTGTTGAATAACATAACATAAATTATTTAAATTTAGATGAACATTACAAACTGGAGTAGTGCACCATATTTCATAGAAACAAAATACATAAACATATTGCACACACAAGTACGACGACGAAAGTGTAAATATTACAACACAAGATTTCAAGGACACTTCTTTATGGGTCTTCATCTTCGTCAGATAAGGTAATGATCAGAAATACATCCAGCTTCACCACTCAATTGGTAGATTAAACTTGTTTCTTGCATCCTCCTTTCTGTAGAACGGTCGCTTGCAATATGGCGCAGATTGTACCAATTACAACGGATTGCCATTCGATTATTCTCAACTCAAATGCGAAACAATACTCGCTCTAATTGTTGAGGAGTGTTGCTAGACATACCAATGACAACCTGTCAAGGCCTTCTTATGTTGTAAAAACGTAAATCTAAGCTTAGATTTTCTCTTTCTGTCAAGCGATATTGTCATTCCGCCATCATTGTGTTCATAGCTGTTAGTGAATAGCGTAACTGAGGATTCATTGGGTAAAAGAACTTATCCTCTAAAGCCCAATGATAACCCAAAGTTTCAAACAGGGTTCTCGGACTAAAATTCATTGTTAGAGATAAATTTTGTACATTAAACATTTAACATTAGTTTATATTTATAGGCAATATATTTATGTTAGTATGCGATTGACATTAGAACATTATGTACTCAGAGTCACGGACTACACAATAATATCTACTGACACATTCTGACAGTGAACCATTGTGTAGTCACACAGACTGCGATTTAACCAGTGTTTAGTCACATCAACCTAGTGTGTTGTCACAACAACTAATAATGACGCAATTGTCACTCAGTGTAACTAGTTTTTATTCAGCAGCACTAGTGTGTTGTCACGGGTTTTAAACGTATCACGGGTTGTGAATCACTATGACGCAAGATGAATGAGGGTCTATTACAATCAATAGACTACATTTCTCAGTGTGTTGTCAAAGTCACTGTGTACCAGTGTGTAGTCTCGTGTACTGCACAAATATCTTGTTACTGTTTGACCATCAACTCAAACATAATGGTGACTACACATTACTGCACTGCTGACAAATGTATTTATTTCAGACAATGAAAATCACTATAAAAACATAATATAGGGCGGGTCATATAACATGTATTGCACATTATGTCTACTTCAGCGGTGCGAGTAAGTGATACCAGCCGTAGGCATGAACTAGTATGGTTATTACAAGATCGAGATGATGATTACAAGAGTGAGAGATTTTCTGATCCAAAGGAGTATTATGCCGAACTTCGTAGAGAGTGGGCTTTTCGTGCTAATGAATCACAATCATTATGCACAGATTTGACAGAACTTGCTATACCGGTGCCACATAGACTTTCACTTACCATGCCCCGAAAGAATAGAGTCGACTATGAAGCATCAGTTAAACGTATACGAAAGAAAAATAATAGGATGATGCTCCACAAGAGCCGATATTATATGCTCCACAAGAGCCGATATTATATGCTCCACATAGCATCTGACATGGTCACAACTGCATTTGGCAGAAAGTTAACAGCTACTGAGCGATCTAAGATTTTGTGTAATGAACAATACCTATCAGATGAGTATATGTCTGATGAAAATTAAAAATTTTAATTACTGTTCACCTTATTAAGCATATAACGTTTATGTCTATGTCCTATTTACTTTAATCATCATTGTTGCTTTATAAGTTTATTCAGTGTGTTGTCATATGTCAACTTTTTCATTGTCACATCTTGTAATTGTCAATGTATGCAGTGTGTTGTCACTTTAATCAATCTATGCAGTGTGTAGTCAATTTATGCAATGTGTTGTCAATTTAATCAATTTATGCAGTGTGTTGTCATATCCAAACTTTTTCATTGTCATTTTTCATCACTGGCAAATCAGTTCCAAACTATGCCGAACCGAGCATATATATACTACCTTTCACAGTTGTATAAATACACCACCATCAAACAAAATGTATAGGAGCACATCACATGCAAGTTCTTCTTCACGCAATCACCAAAATAGTTCATCTTGGGGTAACAAACATGAACGCTCAACAGACAGCTCAACATCGCTAAACAAAGTGCCTTCTATCGAATCATATACCGACTCTAGTGGTGTAACGTGGTATGGACGAAAATGTGCATTCCGCAATGAGCCCATCAACCCTTATCACCCATTCGGACAAGCTGGACATCTAATTGTTGGGCCTACAACTGATTATTCACCTCCAGGTGCTCATATCGAACCCACACCAATATGGCGACAATTATATGACAAACGTTGTGACCTTGAAGTATTTTGTCGTTTACATGGAATTGTAGTACCAAAGGCACATTCGACTGATATTTACAATTCATAGAATTTAAATAATCATGACGAGGTTATTTCAAGGCTTGAACTTGAAAATGATCAAATGCAGCGTCATCTTGATCATTTCCACGCACTCGATTATGCTAAAATAGAGCATTTTGATCCTGAATATGCCGAAATTAAAATTTTAGAGGATCCGTTACTTATTTATGATCCTGAGCTTTTGATTTCTCTGATTTGGACGATAATGCGTCTGACACTTTTATCCCATCATGTTTATGTGTATTCGATAATCCTTTATGTTGTTTTGAATATCAACCACGTTGTTGACATCTTATTTTTACATTTATACGTTCTGAATAACTGATATTTTTTCAGAACGTATACTTCTAGAGGAGAAATTATTTGGTGTAACGCTTACAGTTTGTATGAGACCTTAAATTTAATTATATGTATATGTTTTTAATTTTTAAACTTTGATATGCTAAAAAATATATGTATTTTTTAATTATCAAAATTTATTTATTGAATGTAATTCAATTTTTAATTAAATAAAAATAAACTCATCCTCTCACAAAGAGAGGGAGCAAAATTTTTTTAGGTATTATTGTTTGGGACATTCAAAATTCAATTTTTTTTTGAATGTAATTAGATTTTTAAATAAATAACATAAACGAAATTTATGTATTTTTAAAATATAAAAATTTATTTATTAAATGTTATTTTTAAAAATAAACATTTAACATTTTACTCAAAAAAAAAAAAGACAAAACCTATTACTAACGAATAAATTAAAACTCAAGATAAAATTTAATGCCAGTTATGATAATTGGTGTGCTTGGTCTTGTCGGTGGAGTTTGATATGCTAAAAAAATATAATTATTTTAAAATTATCAAAATTTATTTATTGAATGTAATTAAATTTTAAATAAATAAAAATTTAATTACTCATCCTCTCAAAAAAAGAGGGAGCAAAATATTTTTAGGTATTATTAGGAAAAAATATGTCAGTAGGACAAAAAGAATTTTATGTATTTTTAAATTATCAAAATTTATTTATTAATTAAATTGTTAAAATGATTCAAAAATTAATTGTTACAAAAATATTTACCTGATTAATCGGGTAGGAAGTCGGGTAGAATACCATACCTGTCGGGTAGCCCAAGAAAAAACTCTTCCGCAAAGTATCGGGTATGAAGATAAAAGAGCATATTTCCTACCCGTAGGGCAGGGTGAACACCCCTATGTGCAGGTGGTACAACATAAAATAATTGAGTGGTTTGATTATTATATATGTATTATTTTATTTATTATATATGTCCTTTACAAGCTGAGTGCATTTTATTAACATTATTTTATTAAATAAACATCATATTTGTTGGTGTGGTTGGATCACATGTTATTAACAACTGCATGGCTTGATCTGGCGTGTGGAGGCAACGACGTCAAACCGATTGACGTCTCTTATAAAGACGTCAAACCGAATGACATCTTTATAAGAGACTTCAAACCGAATGACGTTTTTAATGGTGGGCTGATCAGGTGGGCTAAGCTACAGTATTATGCTAAAAAACGTAAAATGGACTGACGTTTTTAGGATCTTTATCCTAAAAACGTCAATTTGTTTGACGTTTTTAAAAAATGTCTGCATTTGAAAATTACTTTCAAAACTACCCTTATTTTGGACCTTTTTTTTAAAAGTGCATGGAATAGGTCAAAAGTTCCTGAATTTTGAGGTCCATCCATTTGTATCCTCTTGACATTTCGGTTTTGTTCACATTGATGAAAACAACTTTTCATGGTAGAAGGTTTTTCATGCCAAATATCTATATATATATATATATATGCAAAGCTCATAGTTCTCATATGATCTCTAAGTTTTTTTCGACAGAAACCTTATATCTCTCAGAGTTTATGGTCTAAAAAATTAAATCGGCCATGAATGATCATGATATAAAACTATTTAACATTGGAATTTTAAAAATCATATATAAATATTTTTGTCTGATGAAATTATTATGAATTAAACAAAATTGAGGGAAATACCAAGAGAATTGGAGAAAAATAAAATATATATACATATATCATTTGACTTTAAAATAAATAAAATTTTGTAGTTAAAATGACCTACTCTAAAATAAATTTCTAGCTCCACCCCACCTATTATTGCCATGAATTCACAAAATAAAGATATATAAAATGAAATTTTTATAAATTACCTCTGGATCAGAATTTGCTCATATATTACCCTGAGCATGTCGATTGAACGCTTCACTCTCACAAGGTCTCTCGAATTACTATTTGAGACTTTTGCACAGTTCTGTTCAATATCATGATCAATTAATGCCTCAAGAGTATCGATTGACTTCGATGCCTCCATTAGTGCATCAATCTTTCAACCACACAGAAAAACAACAATTATTAATGAACAAGTACAACCATTTAACCAAAAATATATACATACAAAGGGCCAAGTATACTTACGTGTGTGTCTATATCTACCTATATCTATATAATAAATTAGATAGATTTTTGAACTTATGGAGTATATTCTCCCCCTCCCCCCAAGAATTTCACACACTCAACACATACTTTCCCCCCAAATTTCACAAACCCAACACACACACTCCATTATTATTTAGTCACGGAGTATCGCTAGTGTGTGTATATATATATATATATATATATAACAATCAAATTAAGTAGAAGGTGGCTAGAAAAGAATTCTCTCTCACTTTTTTCCCTTAGAATTTAGGATTTTTTAATTCAAAACTTAAGGCTCCCTTCAATCAGATGCTGACCCGTGTCATTGTTAAATACCCACCAACTCTTCAATAACAAACCATTATTTTTTTAAAAATTACTTTTTATCACCAAAAAACTTAAATATAATTATTTATTTAACTTATCAAGTAATAAAATAAAATAAAACATGAATTATAATTCCATGCATTACACGGGCCCGGCTACTAGCCTATAACCTATAATATAAAATAGGGCAGACTTTAATAAGTCCATCTGACGGTCTCAAATATACTCATTCACCGGCTATCGACATCCCTCTCAAAACTATTAACATTGAATTTTTCCCTCTCTCCCCCCCTCCAAAATCCATCACTTCTCACTTACGTTGCATCGTGCCTTCAGGCATGGGTTACCCCTAGTGCTTGTGTGCATATATATATATATATATAACAATCATTTTTTAGGAGAGAGGGCTTAAGAAACCTTCCCTCTTATTTTTTTTGATTTTTAGAATTCTTGTTTAATTAATGACAAAGTTAGTTATTCTCTAATAACTGACACTATGCTAATATAACCATTTTTTTCACTATCCTACCAATTAACCACCCCCATTCAATCTTTTTAAAAAAAATTTATTTCATTTCCCTATAAACTATCATAATTCTTAAATTTCTCATGTTATTTGATGGAAAAAGAGGTAGAGTGGCGCGATCATGGAAGGGCTACCCTACTACCAATATATATAGAGTAGCGTGATCGTGGAAGCTCTACACCGTAGCTTCTAATGAGTACTTTTTATGTAGACCATTAGATCACGATCTAACAATCAATAAACAAATTTGCTCAAAATTAATTATCAAGACATACCAAATTTTGTTCTTAACTACATAGGAAATGTCTATGACAAATTAATTGTGATCTAGTCTTATTAGGAAAGTCTATTTAATTTTGTGAAACTTAATATTTTGGGCTTAAGAAACCTTCCCTCCCATCTTTGATTGTCCGTGATGATACACTATTAATTGTTGAATAAATGATCGGGCTCTTATAGATTAGCTTTTTCACTTTCTTTAAATTTATTGATTTGACCGTGGTATTGGTTAATAAATGGTGATCTCCTGATATATAATGTGGTATGGTGTTTTATTGGTATGAAACATTATTTTCAAAAAAATCTTCAAAAACTATCGTTTTTTTTTGGGTTTTTAATAGAGATTTTTTTGGCAGTGGATAGGTGTGATGCTTGGGTGGAATGAAATATGAGCAGAAAGTGGGGGAATTTGTAGTGGGGATAAACCAATTTTAAATAGATGTAATATACTGGTGATAGTAGTTTGCAGAACAGATGAAAATAATGCTCTCTGCTCATACGAGCAGAGATCGTTTATTGCAACAACTGGTGCTGATGTATTGAAATGTATATTTCACAATGTCATTAGCGCTCTTCTATTTGGTATGTCTTGTAATTGACCTTTTTCTTTGTTCCGCCGTATCTTCAGGCACTAGGCTTGGCTTTAATTAAATGATATAAAGAATAACCTATATCAACTTAATTGGAATGTTTCATTTGTTTTTCAATTATGTAGACATGTCAATATTTTCACGGTCTCCTATTTTCAAAGGAAATTATGTCGAAATTTTGAAAATATATCAGGTTACTATTAGGTTGATTTTACTTTCTTTAATTGAATGATATAAAAAATAACATATATCAACTTAAACTGGATTTGTGTAGGTTTTTGTTTATTTTGTATTTAGTATGATGAACTAATTTCACGTTTATGAGGATATGTTTGACTTGATGTGAAATTGCTAGTTGTTTCAGTTGTTGGGTATGGATCGTTGATTTTGGGAGATTGTTTTGTTTGTTTTTCAGTGATGTATACAAGTTGAAATTTTTCCGAGCTCCTATTTTTAGAGCAAGCTCTGTCGAAATAGTTCCCAAAAAACATTTGGAAACTATATTGATTTTAATTTCTTTAATTAAAGTAATTTTTTTTTCAAATTTATCGGTTGATTTACGTTACACCGTGCCTTCAAACACGAGTTATCCCTAGTATGTGTGTGTATATATATATATATATCTGTGTGAGTGTGTGTATGAGATAAAATAGTAACATTCAAACACAAAAAAAAAAAAAAAAAAGTAATATTCAAACACAAAAAAAAGTAACATTCAAACAAAAAGTAGTACCATTGGATATTAACATTTATAACATGCTCAACAGAAAAATAGTAACAACAAATATTAACATGTTTAACAAAGAAAGTAGTAACATTGAAAAGTTGTACCATGGAGAAAAAAAAGCAGTAACTTACTCAAAAAAAAGTAACAAAGAAAAAAAAGTTGAACAAAATTGGAGGTCAAATGAACAAAACACTTATCATTTTTAAAGCAACATGGGCAACACATGATGCATAATAGAGAAAATTGTAATATGCTCAAAATAAAAAAAAATAATAACATGAAATATTGAACAAAATTAGAAGATATAAAAACCACAAAACTGAATATGAAGAAGAAGAAGATAGCCTACATAGAGCTTCACGACGACAAGTCTATGACGATGTTTTATATTTTTCTTTAAGAATTTTTGGCTAGAAGAAGACATAATCTAAAATAGAATTAGCGGTGGTATGTCAAATTTAAATTTAAATTTTAGATTGTATGGAAAAAAAATTTATTATAGGATTTCATTAAAAACAATTTTAACGTTAAAAACTATTTTCAATGTTACCGGAAGAGGATTTTTAGGAAATTAAAAAAATTTAGAATTTACTATTAAAATATAACTTATTTCCAAATAAGTTTAAAGTGGTGTTTGATAAAACTGAAAGCTGAAGTCTGAAAACTGAAAATTGAATTCTGAATTTGTGAACTGTTTGATATTCACTGAAATTTAAGTACTGAATTGAACTAAATTGTTTGATAACTACACAGAACTGACGTATGAAAATAAATTAATTTTTAATTTTATCCTTCCACTCTTTAATTTGAAAATATTTATAAAGTATATCATAACATATATCATAATCATTATTATCATATTATAGTCTACATTTAACAAACATCTTATAAAATAAATAAATAACATCTGAATAACATAATAAGTGAACAATATTATCTAATAAAAATAAGAATAACTAATATCTTTATGTGTGTGTGTGTGTGTGGTGCATGTGTCTATGTGTGTGGTGCATGCATTTGTGTGTGTGTGTGTAATTATGTATTATGTTTAGTTTTATTGAATGAGACAAGGGAAGGAAAACCAAAAAAAAAAAAGAACGAGAATGTAAAATATTTTGAGATATAATTGTCATATTATAAATATTATTAAAGATAATTTTGTTGAGTGCTTTTAGCTTTTAGAATTAAATAAGAGATTTCCTACTTAATATTGTAGCCTATTTTTAAGGAGCAGTTGACATATTAATAGAGTTTAAATTTTAGTTATTCAATAAACTTAATTAATAAGTATCGAATACATTTATTTTAAGTGCTGACTTTAAGTTAACAAATATACCTTAAGTTATAGATTTAACTCATTCAAAATTTCTTGGACTTCACCCTTATTTTTACTAAAACTTTGAACAGAGTGATCAATCCATTGAAAAGGAAACTCATCCATGAATGAAGAACAACAAAGTGTAATAGTAAGTGAAAACTACGATCACCTTGGCCGAAAATTCGATGGAGGCGAACTTGAATGCCATTCCTAAGTGGCCTATGATAGAGGCAACAAGGCGGCTAGCGGAAGCGAACTGCCCAACCTCGAGACGCGGCGTCGGAGAATCCACGCATTTAGCAAGTTCCTTGAAAGACTCCGCAACCTTTGTCAGTAGTTTCTCGGTCTTCGCCTCCATGGATGACAGGGCTTCGGAGTTCGGAGCTCTTCTTAATTCGTTGTTGCTTTTCTCTGCTCTCTCTCTCTCTCTCTCTCTCTCTCTCTCTCATTGGTACGATTCAAGAGCAAAGAAGATACCTTTCGACCTATCCTATATTATATGCATTTTCGTCGTCCTTGCCTATTCTGTCGCTACGTACAAAAAATATAGGGTTAATTATAAATTGAACTGCGAAAAGATAGTAGAAATTTTAATTTATATCCTTAAGGATTAAAAATTTTAATTTGTACTCTCAAAGATAAAAATTTGTATCAATGTGTACCCAAAGATAAAAATTTGTATCAACGTGGACCTAAAACTAAATTGATAAATTATACTTAGATCCCTCATGCTTCTCACTTAATCATTTGGACTCCTTCACATTTAAAATATTACTCCTACATCTCATAACGTTTTTGCATGTGTAACATGTAATCCCTTTTCATTGATATCTATTAATATAACCGTTAAAAAATATGATTTTACCATAATAAAAAATTATAATTTCATATTACCCTTCATTTTGTAGGTTTGATATGCTCTAAAGTTTAAAATCAAGTTTACCATTGGACATTATAATTTTTTATTAGGATAAAATTATATTTTTTAATGTTTATATTAACAGATATCAATGAAATGAGGTTACGTGTTACACTTACACAAACGTTATGAGATGTAAAAGTAATATTCTAAATGTGAAAGAGTCCAAATGATTAAGTAACAAGCATGAGAAAATTTAGGTATAATTTATCAATTTAGTTTTAAGTGTATATTGATATATATTTCTATTTTTGAGGGTGCAAGTTGAAATTTTTATCTTTGGGAGCGTACATTGATATAAATTTCTATATTTGAGGGTACATATTAAAATTTTTGATATTTGAGGGTATAAATTCAAATTTCAACTATCTTTCAGGATGTAACTTGCAATTAACCAAAAAATATATGCAAATTATTGAATGTAAATCATTGAGTTTTTTACACCACCTTTCTGCACTACCGCACTATGAATCATTAGATTATTATTTATTAGGTTCCATTCCAGGGCGGATTTATAGCGGGGCAACTGCCCCCTCTGCAATCCAAAAAACATTAGGGATTTGTTTAAAATTATAGAGAATTTACAATGATTTATTTGTTTGCCCTTATTGTTGGAGTCAGGTAAACTTTTGCTGCCCTTTGAACTTGTTTTAAAGATGATTTACAGAAGCTTGTGTGCTCATTCATGGAGGTTTAAGGGTTTTTTTCTTCAAAACGAAGAAGAGGTTGAAGATACTTGCGCTGGAGGCGCATGTAAAGCTGTCAGCTTACCTATTGGTCTATGGGTGTGAACCAGCGCTCCTATACTAACTAATTGGTTGGTGTTCTGGGTTAGTCAGACTACTTGTTGCCTGTTGCGCTGAACAAACAATGTTATTATAGTTTATTTGTGTGATCTAATTTATTATGGTTTTTGAATTGATCGTAAACTTCATTAAACATTAAAATTTGTGTTGATTTACTATTTTTGTTGAAATCACATCATTAGTTTTATAAATTAAAATAAAATTTTTAAATATAAACAATATTATTCGTGCGAAATATATAGACAAGTGATATGAGTTACATAACGTAAATTTGGACAATTCGTATTTATGGGCTAGCACTCATCTTATTTGGACTCACTCGGTGTCTTGGCCGATGTCTATGGTGGTTGGATGGTGGAATAGAAGTGGTTCGAACCAGTTTGGTTATGGGTAATTTCATTTATCAATAGTGGTAAAAGCAACTATTATATATCAGCAAAAAAAAAAAAGAGCAACTTTAATAAACTTTGTTGATTAATAAAAACCTATATTATAGACTAGGTGTGTGCCTATAAGTTGAGAAATCTATTCTCTAATTTTTTTTTTGGTCTTTGTAGGGCATGTTTTGAGTTTTGTTGAATATTATGTTTTAGAATAAAATAAATTAACAAAAACGAAATATAAAAGATTTTGGATAATTTTATATCTTAAGTCATAGACTCTTAAGAATTAGACTTAAAAAGGACTTAATTCATGACTTTCTTTTTAGTTTCTCCCCTATCTCAAATTTATTGTTTTTCCTCCGTAATAACACACCAAATTAGATATCTAATCATCATCAAACAACGACAATAACTCAAGCTACAATTCAATAGAAGCACTCAAATCATCACTCACTTGTAGTGTTAATTTCTTATTGGCACTTTTTCTTACATTGCTTGTGTATGCAGGATAGGTCACCAATTAGTGTCCTTTTAATGAAATTGTAGTTATTAAAAAATAAGAAGAACTAATGATTTTTAAAAATTATATTAGTGTTACAATTTTTAATTTTTTATTGTGGCATAAGTTGCCCCCCACAGAAAAAAGTTCCTAGCTCCGCCCCTGGTTCCATTGAATGCATTGAATATTTAAAAATTGAGATCATGTCATATTAAGTGATGCACATATCATTATTGTTTTCTCTTCCTCCTGCAACCACCCCCTCATTCTGCTACCCGTCACTTGTCACCAATATTTTGGGTATATGTCAATTTTCGTCCCCCACGGTTCACACTCCACTGTTCTCCTTGGTCATTCTCACTCTTTAAATGTGACTGTGGGGGCATAGTAACTGTTTTATGTGCATCTAGAATACCATTTAAATAGAGTCATGCTATTTAGTTTTAAAAGTTTAAATGAATACCATATTTTAATTTTTAATGAGACTTAAAATCAATACAATAATTATAGTAGATTAGGTTAATAAATTAAATTTAAATAACATTGCTCCTTAAAATATAAATGCATAAATGAGATTCACTAATTCCTCATATCCTATTAAAAAAGAGCCAATGTAACTTTTGGGAGCTTTTACCCACAAGCAAGGGTTTTTTCAAACTTATACCTAAAAGAGGGTAGTTTTCTAATTAATTCTTAAATTCAAGTACTTTTAAAAACATCATTCTAACTGACATTTTTAATCTAAAACCGACACTTGGACTGGCATTTTAATGATAAAAATACCAGTTCAAGTGATGCTTTTAGTTGAATTATTGTGTTGCATGGGAACGCTAGTGGGCGTATAAAACATCAATGCAAATGACGTTTTAGAGAAAACTTTGATCAAAATGACATTTCTACAAAATGTCATTTGTACTAACGTTTAACAAAAAAGGTTAAAATGTCATTTGTACTGTCATTTTTTGTATTCAACCTTTTTTTCATCAAGTTATTTTTCAAAATAAAAAAATAGGAAACAAAAATTATATTTGCATTATTTCAAAATAATATAAGATTTTGAATTTCAAAAATGTTTCAATATAAACATTGAAATGTTTATATTTAATTAAGTTTAATTTAACTTCCAAACATAAGATTTTGTGATTGATGCCGACAGTAATTTCCATTAAAACAAAGTGGAGTGTATTTAAAAATCTAACTTATTCACAACCAAAAAATAGAGCATTTATTTCATGATACTTTCTAGTGCACTTGATGGGTAAAGGGGTATCAATAACAAGTTAGTCAGTTGCAAACCCAATAATTACATGTCAAACTTGACCGAATGGGTGATAAGGGTCGATAGGTTCATTGTGGAACTCACATTTTTGCCCATACCATGTTACACCACTGGAATCTGTATATGATCTAATAAAAAGAATTCTATTTAGCGATGTTGATCTATAAGTTGAGCGTTCACGTTTGTTGGCGGAAGATGAATTATTTTGTTCATTGCTTGAAGAAGAACCTTCATTGGTTTGGTTGTATTGTGTATTTGATGTGCGCTTATACATTTTTTTACTTATCATTTACACAATTGTGAATGCTATATAGGTTCGATTTGACAATTTAAAATAACAATGAAATGACATAACACTGCATAGTTGGGAATTGATTTGACAATGAGAGGACTTTATAATGAAAAAGTGGTGATATGACAAAACACTGAATAGATTGATAAAGCTATGAGATTGCTTAACACTACTTAGGACATACACATAAATGTAATACACACAATCAGTTGGACACTGATTACATTTGCCAATCTTCATCAGACATATATTAATTTGATAGATATTATTCAATAGACAATACAGTAGATCACTCAATAGTTGTCAACTCCCTTCCAAATACAGTGGCCACCATGTCAGTTGCTAATTAGAGCATATAATGTCGACACTTATGCATCATCATCATATTATTCTCCATTCGTACACGTTTAACTACTACTTCGTAGTCCATTCTCTTCCTTCGTTGTATGGTAAGTGAAAGTCTATATGACACAGGTATTCCAAGTTCTCTTACATGTGTGCATAATGACTGTGATTCATTAGCACAAAAATTTCACCCTCGGCGAAGTCCAGTATAATACTTTTTGGATCATAAAATCTCTTACTATTGTAATCATCATTTTTCCCTTGTAACAACCAAACTCATTGATGTCTATTGGTCTTAATGTAGACATAATGTTCAATACATTCAATATCAACCACCCTTTATTGTGTTTTTATAGTGGTTTTAATGGATGATCGTAACATAGTAAGGTTTTGATCATTGTGTTCAGTGTAGCAGTGTGTAGTCATTTATTTTGTCGGATAAGTACATTTGTTATCTATGCAATACTGTGTAGTTAACTTTTTATTTTTAAGTTGATGGTCATGCATTGAAATAATAGTTTAGTCAATGTGACTCCACATTGTTACTTGTTAGTGTGATTGCACACTGAGACCTATCATTCATTGAAGTTACTAGACCCTGATTCACACTGCTAGAAAGACAAATGCATCAATGTTTTTTCATTGTGACTACACACTGATACTTGTCATTCATGATGACTACACACGTCACCTCACATCTCTACTGTATATTTAATCAACGTCTATGAAACATTCAATAATATTAGGGTTTATGTCATTGTGTTCAGCTATGATAAAGTTTGATTGTGACTACGCACTGGTGCATTGAAGTGCATTGTAGTGTGTTATCAATTCA